GTTGTTGAAAAAGCATCAGTAGATACTGCTGTTGGATAAGCTATTGGTATTATTGTTGCAAATGTACCTGAAGGATTATTGGGATGTATTACAGTTTCTTTGGCTATTACTGCAAAAAGATTAGCAGATAAGTAAGTTTTAGTTAAGAATTTGGAAGCTGTTGAAACACTTGGATCAACAAGTTGCATTTGTTCAGATAAAACAGGAACTTTGACTTAAAATAAGATGAGTGTTGAAAATGTTTGGTATGATGGATTAAAGAGGAGAGCATTAAATAAATTGATTGCAGGAAAGAATGCTGAATATGAATATGAAACTAGTGATCCAACATTTAGAGATTTACATGATTGTGCTATCATTACCAGTGAAGCTAAGTTTAATATTTAAGCTAAAGACAAATAAAATATTAATTGGTTAGATACTCCAACTATTGGAGATGCATCTGAAACTGCATTGATTAAATTCTTTTAACCAATAGAAGATATTGAATAAACAAGATAAAGAAGATAATTTGCAGAATTACCAGATAAATCATTGGCTAAGATGCCATTTAATTCAACTAATAAGTTTTCTCTTTGTATTGTAAATTGGGAAACTCATGATTCTTATTATTGTGTTTACATTAAAGGAGCACCTGAAAAATTATGGACATTTTGTAGTTATCTTTTAGTTGAAGGTAGAAATCAACCAATTGATGAATAAATTACTCAGAAATTTAAATAAGTTAATTTAACATTTGGTAAAGGTGGAGAAAGAGTTTTAGGATTTGCAAAATTACATTTGCCAAGAGCTGAATATCATAAAGGATATTAATTTAATTTAAATTCTGTTGATACACTTAAATTTAAATTAGAAGGATTTACTTTCTTAGGTTTGTTATCATTGATGGATCCTCCAAAAGTAACAGTCCCTCAAGCTATTAGAAAATGTTAATCTGCTGGTATTAAGGTTATTATGGTTACTGGAGATTAACCACCTACTGCAGGTGCTATTGCTAAATAAATTGGTATCATCACTGGTAAGACAGTTGATGATCTTTTGGATGAGAATCCATCAATGTCATATGAAGATGCTTTTAGACTTGCTCCAGCTATTGTTATTCATGGTGATCTAATTGTTTAAGCACTTGAAGAGGAAGCATCTTAAGGAGAAAATTTACCTGAAGAAATGAAAGATAGAAAATTAAGAAGTTGGTGCAGTAAACCTCAAGTTGTATTTGCTCGTACATCTCCTGCATAAAAATTAATGATTGTTAGAGCTTGTTAATATTTGGGTCATGTAGTAGGAGTTACAGGAGATGGTGTCAATGATTCACCAGCAATCAAATAAGGTGATATTGGTATTTCAATGGGTATCAGTGGATCTGATGTTACTAAAGATGCTGCAGATATGATTTTATTGAATGATGACTTTGCTTCAATTGTTGATGGTGTAGAAGAAGGAAGAAAGATTTTTGATAATCTTAAAAAAACTATTGTCTATCTTCTTACATCTAATATTACTGAAGTGTTCCCATACGTAGGTGAAATTGCTATTGGATTACCACTTCCATTAAGTAATGCCTTTATTCTCACTATTTGTATTGGTACTGATATTTTACCTGCTATTTCATTTGCTTATGAAGAAGCTGAAATTGATATTATGACACGTAAACCAAGAAAGAAGGATGACCATTTAGTATCTCTTAGATTAATCACACATGCTTATCTATTATAAGGAGTCATAGCTACATCTGCAGGATTCTTTAGTTATTTTAGTACAATGAATGAATATGGATTCCCTCCAAATCTACTTCTTAATTTTATGAACAAACCATATTAATAAATTCCTTGGGCTCCTATTACACTTGCAAATGGATAAAAATATGCTCCACCTCCTACAAGTTGGGTTTGGGATATGCCTAATATGAACAAGTATTTAGTTTATCTATATATTATTTTAGTCCATTTTTAACAACTCAACCTTACAGTCCTAATTGGTAAATGGCACCAGTTTTGAGTCCAGCATTAAATTCTAAAGGAGCTATTGATTTAGAAGATACAATTGGATTTTAAAACATTCCATTGAATTGGATAAATCCAGAAATTATCTATTATGATTTGAGATACATCTTCGTTACTTATGATAAAACCTAAAGTAGATGGTTCCCTACATTTAATGAATGGGATAATCAATTTTCTGATTAATTATGCAGATACTTTGATAGATCTGATTCACTTCTTGAAGGATCTGGATATCCAATCAATACAAATGCTTGTTTCAAAACTGCAGCACTTAAATATGCTTAAACTTCCTACTTTGTTGCTGTTGTATTGGTCTAATGGTCTAATGTGTTTTCATGCAAATGTAATATATTTACTTAAATCAAATAGAACGTAAAATGTCATTAATTTATTCACCAATTAATACTGTCATGTTTTATGGAGTTATTCTTGAAACCATTATTTTCCTTTGTATTGTTTACATTCCAGGAGTCAATACATGGTTCGGTGCTAGACCAGTTGATATACTCAATTTGGGGTATTCAATAATTAATTATACTTATATAGTATGCCCGGTCTCCCATATTCAATGTGTCTATTTTGTTGGGAAGAAATGCGTAAATACTTTATTAGAAACTTCTAAAAGCCCAGCAAATTTGAACCAAACTTCTTTGAAGCAAATTCACTATGGTGAGTAAAATGGTAGTGACATTAATATTAAATAATAAAATTTGTATAGAATTATTTTATAAATTAATTTCATGGTTAAATTGTATCTATTTCAACGGTCATTAGATAGTAAATCATCGTATTCATAGGTATAGATATCAAGATTAGACGAACATAGAGGTTCTGAAAATAAAATAAATTACACCACTACATAATTATATTATAATATATTACATTTTGGTGATATGAATAAACTAGAAACTAATAATCGTATATGATATTTTGTACTCTAATATATCTTTAATATTTTCTAAGCTTAAAAGTTACCATTAAATTCAATCATTATTTCCATCTCCTCCTTTAATTTTATCAGATTACATTCAATTAAACCTTTGTCACTATTCTCAAAAACACTCAATAATAGCATGAAAAGAGCATTTGGGATTGTAAACAATGTTTCTATTTTGTTTGTATTTTAGAATAATATATTTTTATCAGGATATAAATTCTCTATTTATTAAATTACGAATTATAAGTTGACAGTATTGAAAGAATATTAATGATCATATAACTCTTCTATCAATTTAACAAGTATTAATTTCCTCCTTGTTTCTTTTACTATAATGTTATTTTTAGTTTCTTTTTCAATTTTAGATAATAGGTTAATTATTGTATTATTGTATAAGATAAATCGCTTTTTGTATTTCCTTAATTACTTTATTGAATGCTTATTTATTGAATTAATTCGCAATAAAATCATTGGATTTTTAGCTTAAAATATAGACATTTCAATTTATAAAAGCTATCTTTTAAATCTCACTCTTAGTATTTAATTAAAATGATCATAACAATCCATTTAGAATTTCTTAATACTACCATATATATATTCTGACAATGACGTTTTACCTAATGATGCATTCTATAAAAAATGCCTTATTGTTCTTTCTTCCTATTCAGATTCTTGAATGTCTTCATCAAAATCTAAACTATTCTTAAAAGGAAATCTATTCTCCTTTTAAACACTAAAATTTAAATTTGAATAAGAAAATTTCAATAAAATATAAGGATCTTTTATTAATTCATAAAATATTTTATCCCAACTGCTCTCCACCAATCCTAATAAATATTGAGATCTCATTGCTTTGTGATATGTATATGCATAAAATAAAAATGATGAATTAGCTAATATAGTACTTGTAAGAATCATGTAATTTTAACTATTTGTAGTTATATATGGCAAAGATAATCTTAATGTTGTTATTAAAATTAGTTAAATGACTGAATCAAAAAATTCTCCCGATAATACAAGCATAATATTAACTGTCATCAAGTTAGCTCCTTTTAAGTTTTAAACTTCTGGAGAACTTTCTTCCTCAATTACTAAACCCATAGTGCAAATATTTGTTATAAAGAATGCAATTCTTGTTAACTATGGTTACCACTAGACCATTATATATTGCAGAATAATATATATCAGCATAGCAAGTTTGTAAAAAAATAGAAAATCTGTTTTCTCAATTAACCCATACATGACTCTAATAGCAAAAGTGATCATTAAACCAAAAGACATCATTTTAAAAACTGCTGATCTTGAACTTGATTATTATTACTGCTAGTACAAATTCTCTATTTTTGGATCTATAAAGCGTAAATGATATTAATTCATTAATATGAATTTATTATATTGAAATATTACTTAGAATAAAGGTTTAATTTATAAACTATTCTGTTTTGAAAGATAAAATCATTAATTAATCAAGAATAATTTTAGAACATAATTATATTGTAATGCTTTGAAAATATTTGTATGATTAATAAAGTTTCAAAGAATTAATTTTTTTAGAAAGAAATTAAGGACACTTTACTTTTAAAATAAAAAAGATAATCAAAAACGAGATGTCTCATTATTATTAAAATTTTAATTTTTCCAAATTAGATAAAAATATCTTTATTTTATGAGTATAAATAGTTAAATATATTAAATCATCATATTTACATAAAGAATAAACATAAAAAAAGCATTCAATTATTTTTATATTTAAAATTCTATCCTTATAATTTTTTTACAAATTTTAAGATTAAATTTATATATTAATTATCATTTTTGGGTATATTTTATATGTTAAAGTAAAAAGAATGTAAATATCTATATATAGTAAAATGGAATAAATAAAAATAGATTCAAAATATTGGAAATGTAATAAATTTAGAAATATTTATTTAATTATAGAATACAAATATTGATGTTTTTTTTTGAGATTATTGGTTAATTAGAATAGTGTATAGTATGATAATAGGTATGAGTTTGAGTTTATTAAAATTAAAATATAAATAATTAATAAAATTGATATGGCTTCTTCTAAAAAATAAAAGAAAAAGTTATCTAATTAATTGAGTAAAAAAAAAACTATAAGGACTAATATAAGAAAAACAAAGTGTGATCAATTAGCTCAATATGTGAAGAAATTCTAGAATTAATTTAAGTTAAATTAATTAGATTTAGACAAATAAGAGATCATTCCTTCATATTAGAGCATTCCTACAAGTTATTAGCTTAAAGGAAAAAAGAAGTTTCAAAAGAAAGAAGCAGTAAAAGGACTTGTAGGATTAAAAAACTTGGGAAATAAGTGTTATATGAATGCGTCGATATAATTACTTAGTAATCTGTAGCCATTGTCAGATTATTTTATTGAAGTATATTTTGGATGAGCAAAAAAAGGATTTCCAATTAACAGAGATTAATCGAAAGAATCCAATATCCACGTAAGGTTTAGCAACTGTAGCATTTGCCAATTTAATAAAGAGTATCTGGCAAATGGATATTCAGAAACTTACAGTTAAGGGAACACCAATTATTATTCCTGAGGAATTCAACAAAATAATAGGGTATTGTAATAAATCCTTTTCAGATAATACTTAATAAGATGCTTAGGTATTAATAAAAATTAATTTATGAGGAGTTTCTGATGTATTTACTTGATATGATTCATGAAGATCTAAACAGAGTGACATTTCCTATAAAGAGTGTATAATTAAGAGAATATTTGGGAGATTGTAATTAAAGAGAATTAGAAAAGTAAGCAGCAGAAACTTGGGGTGATTATCTATAAAGAAGCAAATCAATAATTGTAGATTTAATGTAAGGATAATTTAAGAATTCATTGAAATGTTTGAGTTGTGATAAATATACTTATAAATTTGAACCTTTGATGTATTTAAGTGTACCAATTCCAGAATCAGATGAATGTTAATTAATAGAATGTATTAAGGAATATGTTAAAGAAGAATAATTAACAAATGGAAATTAATGGTTTTGTGAGAATTGTAATAAATTAGTAGATGCAATAAAGAAGATAGATTTATGGAAATTGCCAACAATTCTTATAATACATTTAAAAAGATTTAAATTTATTGAAAATGGAATTAAAAAAATTGAATAAGCAATTAACTTTCCTTTTGAGAGTTTGAATTTAAGTTAGTGTTTACCTAAACTGTAAAAAGAAAAGCCTATATATGAATTATTAGGAGTTATTTGCCATACTGGTACTAGTGATAGGGGACACTATTACACTTATGCAAGAAGTAAAGAGAATTTTAATTGGTATCTGTTTAATGATAGGTAAGTAAAATAAGTGAATTTTAATGAGATACCATAAGAAGATGCTTATTTATTGATGTATGGCAAAAGTACAATACCATTAATCAAACGTCAAACTATATCATTTCCTGAGAATTGGCCTCATGTAATAAAATGAAATCAATTCCATTATCTAATTATAATCAATAACTCATGAGTTCTACATCAAATATATCTACATCTGTTTTGCTTTCGTGATTTATGATTCCGATTAAAATGTTAAATCTACCATTTTATGGATTCTCAGTAACCCTTAAAATGTTTACTTTTGGTCCTACATCAAAATATTTTAATGTTGTATATTCTTGACTTTCTGCAATCATTTTCCCTTTAATTATACTATGATTTATTGGTTTTAAGAAATCTTCTAGATCTTTTTCCCATAATTTGATATTCTATTTAATTTTTAATTATATTCTTACCTAACTCATAGCTCTTCTCACTTCCCATAATTACAATTTATTATTCTCTCCTACAGCTAATACCCAAATTTTGCTCATTTTCTTTCTAGGTTCTAAAATAATCAGATCTTTAACAGAATTTTAAACTCCTAAATCTCTAAAATTTGATATGCTTCCTTCTTCAACCAATGACAATTTTGTATCATCTTTCATCATTCTTAAAAATCTTAATCCTTACTCTTTCTAATCACCTCCATGATATTCTTTTCTTAATATAATTTAATTTAATACTATTCTCCACAAACAAAATGAATTAATTTTAATGTGCTTTTATCATCATTTAATGCATCTGTACTTATTATTTAAAATGTATTATTAGCTAACATTTTAACTTAAGAAACATTATGTACAACTCTCTCAGAATTTATACTATTTATCATATGTAATCTGCTTTTATCTTATGAAAATGTCATAAACAATTTCCCTGGTTCCACAATACTAATACCTTATACAGGCTTTTCATAAAGAAAATTCAGAACTATTAAATTTATTCTATATACCATGTAAAGCCTAAGGATTCTAAATATGATATATTGAAACACTACCAGTAGAATATCCTGCTACAAAAAACTCACCTGAATATAATTCAGCAAAACAAGTGGCTGCAGATGATTAATCAGGTTTATGAAATTAACCTGCTGATTAAGAATTAATAGTGTATCGCCCTTCATTTCTAAAGATCTACAATTGATAAGACAATAATTATCCAGAATCATAATATTAACCAACTACCAATGTTATCTCACTTTCAGCAGATGTATTAGTATATAATAATGGTTTACTCATTGCTAATAAACATTTCACTCCTTATTAACTTTTAGTGTCAATTTTTTAGATAATTTTCTTATCTTAAATTCTATATATTTCAATATAAGGATTAAATCGAGCTCTAAATTTAATTAAAATAATACGCTATAGCTATTAAATCTGAATTTAATGGAACAAAACAACTGACTTCTGATTAAGTAGATTTTACACTACCTAATTTTAATATTGAACAATTGCTTAAAGTTTCAAATAACATACCCAAGATACATTTTTATCTAGAAGGATCTATAATTGTATTTTGAGACTCTTTATGTAAATAATCATTTAATGTAGGAATGGCAGAAGTATTTAATTTCACCATTTATTCTTACTCTTTTTTTTAAGGAACAGGAGGAGGTATTCCTTTAAAAATACTAAATGCACCATCTATTTAAAATTGTTTTTTAAATTTTTAATCAAATTCTTAGAGTTATGCCAATTCAAATTTAGGTATTCTTGGAGATAATTTATTTAAATCAACTTCAACTGCTAAATAATCTTAAGACTTTTTTAAAATTGTTTATAATTTTTAAGCAACACTTTACATTATATCAATATAATCTTAAGTCATTTCAAAAGCTTTTTCCTATTCATTGATTATAATATTTCCATATTCTTATTTTAGTTTTTCTTCTAATCTAGTAGGTTTACTTTAATTTAAAATATAATAATCATTTGAAACTGATTTCTTAGGTTCTTAATTTTAAAAAGAAACTCCTTTTATTCCTTCTCTTACAAATTTTTCAAATTTATCTTTAGGTATATGTTTCTTATAAATTAATGAATGCGCAATTATATGACTTTTTATTATAGTTGTTTCAAATGCATTTTCAAAACTTGTAAAATATTTATGCAATGATGCTACTAATAAAGACATATGTTCAATAATGCTATTTAAATAATCTCTCAATATTGAAATAACAACATCTCGATATAGGTTACATTTTTTTCTTTATTCTTCTAAAATAATCTTTCTACTAGAGAGTTGATTAATCAATTATGAAACAAATGTATGTAAAGGATATACAGAGTTAGGATGAAATCTATGTTTTTGATATTGACATCTCACACAACATAGTCCTTTATACTTGCATTCGGAATCCAGACAAACCTGATCCAAAGCATTTCCCTAATGACCAGGTTCTTCACAATCAAAAAAGGGTAGCATTGATTAAATTTCATGATCTGAGATCTTTTTACCTAAAAAGGCAAAGTAATCTGCAGCATAGAGTAAATTTTCTTCAGTCATATTATATTAATAATTTAAATAATATAATAGTAATATAATTGAAAAACAGAAATGTTCTCATATATAATAATTTATTAAAATAACTATATCAAAGTTAAATTAATATGAAAATCTGATTGAAAATAATCAGATTTAATTTATTATAAATTAAATCAAGTAATACTAATATAATCTTTATTAATTTTAATAATTCTTATAAAATTTTAGAGATTTTAGATATATTATTAAATAATAATACTATCAATTATCTTAATTTAACTTTTCTAAAAATTATGATGGTCCTCCATATTTTTCAATTAGTTTTTCAAAATACACAGCTCGTTCAGCAGACATAGATCGTATTCTAGATTTCTTAGTATTAGATTTGATTGAATGATATTATGTTCTAATACTACGTTCTTATGCTTATTATTGTAAATTAAGAATATTATCAACTCTTTCATTGTAATTTTTCATAATTTCATCAATGTTGAATTAAGTAAAAAAGGCAGTCATTATATGCATTCTCTCAAATTCATCTTACTATTAACTTTTAATTTCTTTTTGATTTTCCATTACTTCAAAACCTTCTTAAGTTGGCTCTTCTTCATTACGTCTAATTTATTAAAAATAATATACTATTAAAGTTTAATTAATCTATCTTCATCTCCTTCTTCTTATCCAGAATAAACTTATTTGATTTCATTTGCAACTTCATTAGTCAAAGCAAAACAACCTCTAGAATTATATCTAATTTTTTCATGTCTTTTAAATTCTTTAGTGAATTTTTTTTATTTTTATTATAATTCCAATATTAATTCCTATTTTCTATCATAATTAGAAACAAAATGTAATTTTGGACAAGTAGAAGAAAAATGATTGATTTATTAACACCCAAAACAAGGTAATCCAAGAGGAGAATAATCTTCACCTAATTCAATAATATGTTTATTCATTTAAAAGAATTGATTTTAAGTTTAATATTTTTTTAAAATCTCTGTGAATTTCTTTTTTTTCAATTTCTATACATAAACAAAATCAAGAGTATAAGCTGATGCACTTCTTGATTTATTACTAAAAAATCCAAGTTCTCCAAAAGTTGCTCCTTTATCTAATGTCTTTAAACAAGTAAAGGTTTTTTAAATACAAAGCATAACCTGTCCTTTATTGAGAAAATATAAACATCTATCTTCAATATTTTACCCATTTTCTAATTCAATAGGATCATCACCTTCTAAAAATATACATTCTTCAGGACCAAAGATTTATTCTTCTAATTCAAATGGTAATTATAATAAAAGTTCTTTTTCAAATTTGTTCTATTTAAATACTTTTGAATTATTGATTAAATCTGTATTAACTGCAGCTAATACTTCTACTCTTAAAGAATATGATAAGACATCCAAAGCTTCCTTTTCATTTACTTATGTTGATTCCTTTTCATATTTGTATTCTAAGTATTTTCTTACTCTTGCCTATAAATCTTTAGGAATATCATTTGATTTCAAAAATTAATTTGCTTAACCCATTTTTTATCTAATCAATTTCTCATTATAATCCATTGATACAAATATACCACCAATACTATTCATTATATATGCAAATATACAACATGCCAATAACATAACTACTATACCAAATATCTTTTCTACTGATGTTACTGGAGTGATATCTCCATAACCTACAGTAGTCATTGTTGCTGTTGCCCAATATACTGATGCTATATATTTCACATACCAATCACTATCTTATAAACCTTAAGCTCTTAACCAACTATGACTATCTGATGAATTTTCTTAATCAGCTATAAAATGCCATATACAAGCCAACCAATGTGCTACAAATAGCATTATAAATGTTAATTTTAACACTTTATAAAGTGAAACCATAGAATTCGAAAAATCAACATAATCTTCGAATTTAGAAAATATCTTTTTTAATTTTAATACTCTTAGTAATCTAACTACTTTTATAAATCTAAAAAATTTCAAAATTCTCAATAATTTTAAAGTATTAGCCAATTATTCTGATTCTGTTTATTGATTCTAACCATTTTTTATTTATGTTTCATCAATTTCATCAGAATGTATAATTTCTTATGTAGATGCATTAATAATGATATCAAAAGGAAATGTTGAAACTAAAATTAATTTAATAATAATATATACCTAAATCAATCCAAAACCATGCCATCAAGTAGTGTTTAGCTATAAGTTTACGATCTATTACATATTAACCCTTTTATTGATAGGATGTATTAAAATTGATTAGAATATCTAAACTGAATATTGCTATTGAGGCATAATTAAAATTATCAAAAAATAATGATTCAATTGTAAAACTTATATCAAGGGGTAAAATTAAAATTGCAAAAAAAATGATCAACATAGTAAATAAATCCCAAAAAATTCTAAATTTATCTTCTGGTTTGAAAACTTAAATTTAAAATCTTATTTTCTTTTCTACAGGTTTTTTAATAATGTATATTGAATGTCGTTTCAAACCATGTTCCATTACTGTTTACAATTTTTTATTAACTTCTTATCTTAATGTTGCAATTTAATTTTATTCTTCATAATTTCCATTATCATTAGCAAGATCATTCAAAATATTTAACTATCTTTCATCAAATAATTAATTTATAT